ATTTACGCGAGTGTGAGTATGCGGTAATGCTGCTGCCGTCATTGCCTCGCCGTCTTCAGTTGCGATTAGCGGTTCGCAACAGCGCTGCCTCTCAAAAATGTTTTGCGTGCATAAATGAACTCGTCACATTATGAATCTGTGGTGCCGTTTACAAGCAAGAAATGCATCGAGCATAAAGAAACTAACTATAATTGCTGCGAAACAAATTACAGAAGTTGGGTCATTTAAAAATAATACGCATCGCTAAAACGAGCAAGGAGAACCCATAAAACATGCATATATCAATTACCTTGCATACGCGAGTGTGTGTGTGTGTGTGTATATAATATGCAAAATCTAAGTGTGTGATTGCCACATATGTGATCGTCTGGCGTCTACGTACATGGAGCGCATGCGCTCTCTCTTTCCTTGGACCGCTGAAGCTTTCACATCTGACGGCTCTGCTCCCCCGTCCACATGCTGTTGCCAACTTTCTCTTCGCCTCGGTCGATTTAACCCTCCCGGCGCGGGACTTGCCGCCCCCACCGCTGCCTCCCATGTGCCAGGAATCGAACCCGGAAGCACGTGGAGAGGGGAGGCTCTCGTCAAATGCGTTGTCGACTGAGGAGTGTTCTGCGCTGCGGGTAGTTGTTCACACGTCGTGGAAATAGCTCCTCCGTTCGGAGCGTTTTTAACTATTTGGCTGCTGTAAATGTCCACACGGTAAGCCACTTGGTTGAGCTATCATTTGTGGCCAGGTCGCTTCTGAAAAAGAAGCTGATAGCTCCATGGGCTTTAACTTGTGAAATAAAAATTGTTCAGTAGTTTCATTCTTTTTGTAATTGTCTTACCTTTCCTATACTTTGCACTCCTTTCGTGATTTTGTATTGTTTGCTGTTGTAACCTTCTGACCTGCCCCCCCCCCCACATCTGTGAAAACGAGCTTTATAGCACATAGGATTCCTCCTCCAATCTGAATAAAGATTCTGATTCGGGTCTTTTGTGAGTGGTAGCAGCGACGCCCTCGGCGCGGCGGCAGAGCAGAGATCGGCATTTTTTTACGAAACGGCGTCGGGGAAATCGACTGTGCGACACGGCGGTGCTCCGGTGTCTCCACAGTGGAAGGGGTTTTAGCTGCAAGCGGAGCGAGGTGCCGTGTCAATCAACGGCCGTGACATCGGCACCTCGTACAGCTTCTAACAGGCTGTTGAGGCAAGTGCTCTTAGCAAGCGCCTAATGAAAGCCAGTACAGCACATGAGGAGGGGGGGGTGGGTGTGGCCAACACAACGCCCCGCCGTCTTTGTCTCCCGAGTGCTGATGCTTACCGCACCAGGTACTCGTTTAAGGCTGAGTTGACCTGGGGGGGGGGGCCAGGATCGTTTCAGGCTTTTGTCATTGGTGTTGGCTGTGAGCTGACATTGAACTGGGTCACTGGGTTCTGATGCTCAGTGCACTAACCACTACATTAATGCTCATTTATACACACACACATAGCATGGGAATGATATGCACGTGATTACACACTTACATATTTTGCATTTACATGTACAAACAAACCCTTGGTCAATCCATTGCTTAGTTTCAGAGGTCCAATTAGATCTGGTGCTTTCTGGGTGATAAGGTCATATGAGCAATACAATTTAAAATTCTATAATCTCCAAATGTGTTTCTGTCTGCATATAAATGCTCAATATATATATACACACAGGTGCACATAAAAATATGCATGTGCTGTATACATGCATACGTGCATGCATGCATATTCAACATATGTATGGCAATTTCTCCATCCGGTGAATGCGTACCCGTGTCATGAATGCCGTCTTATCACACTTATGCAAATGTAATACACACGCAAAAGATTATTTGATATATTACATACATTGTCCTGAATCGGGGTGTTTAGGCAGGCCAGGAAAGAACTCTCGATGGTTTTGATTTTGTTAAAAAAAAAACTGGCTGTGGTAAACGATAACATCTATTTTTTATCGATCAAATCAAAATCTCCTGCCGTTTTGCGCACCCACATAGGCCTCATGTTAATTGCATCCATGCGTGGATGCATACGTGCGTGCGTGCGTGTATACGCGAGTGCGTGTGAAAGGGGAGCGGTAGTGCAGTGGTTAGCGCACAGCGCCACGAACCCAACAACCGTCCGATTCCCACTCGCGACCAAAAAAGTGGCGAATATTTTTTTGTTACATCCATGCCCATCGTCCACCGGTGAATTATTCTCCACAAGTTCACAGTCCCGTTAGGCCCCCGGAATGTAGTGCAGGCAGAGTTTTTGGAGGGCACTGAGTGCCCGCCCCTACCACCACCTCGCTTCCCGAGACCACAATCGTAAGCCTCCGATCTTTTCCCTGCATCTCGAGGCAAGCTGCAACTAGTTTTAGATATCCAGATAAAAGTTTAAAATGTAATACTATTTTCACACTTCGAGCGTCGGGCATGCAAGAAACTGCGTACAACCTTTCCTGCTTCATCATCATCGCCCTGTGTGTGTGTGTGTCTGTTCTGTAGTCCAGTTAGGCAGTCTACTTGGCAAGCGTATGCTTCCCACTGGAAGAAACGTCGAGGACGGTGCCACGTGACGGGTGTGAACCTGGCGCATTGCGGCGTTTGCGCAGATTGTGCAATTCTTGGTGGAGGCGTTCGATGAGAGACTTTCGTTGACGGCCCTGAGGGTCAGAGTAGCAACTATCTCGGCCTTCCCCCACGAGGAAGTCGAGTGGCACGCAGTGGGGTCCTCCGAGAGCCCTGTCGAGACTTGTCAGTGTCATGAGGCAGGAGAGGCCACCAATAAGGTTTTGTGGGGGGGGGGGGTAGCTCCCTTTTACGCCTGGTGCTGAACGCTCCATTTTAGTTCTCTCTTTCGTACCCTGGGTGCGACGTGCTCCCAAGAGGCTGTCAACTCTCAAAACACTGTCTCGGTTGGCGATCACCTCATTGCGAAGGAGGGTTTGGCCAAATACGAGCCCTTGTGGTGGATCCTCCATTTACCGTCCTATCTAATGGGAAGGTCAGTGTCATGGACTTGCCCCCCACCCCCCTCCTTGTTTGTCTTGAAGGTCCTTTCCTAGTTCCACATCAACTGGGAGATTAAGCGTTGTAGGAGTTGTTGCCCCCACCACCTTTCTGCTCCCCGGCAGAAGCAAGGCTTCATTGGCTCGACCCGGTTTGTCGGTCGTTGATTTTCTGTCTCTTCTCTGTCTGCCAACGTGGAGGAAGGCGGAGCAGCTGTTTGTGTTGTAGAGAGAAATAAAATGGGGGGGGGGGGGGGGGGGAGGTGGCGGCGGCTTCCAAACAGAGGGTGGCCACTTGGCGTGCCGCAATGCATCCAAGAGGCGTGTACGAGATCAAGAGGCGCGGCAGAGTTGAGCGGTGTAATCCGTATTCCACCAGGGCCACGTCGTCACGTGTCCTGGGCTAGCAAAGGGGATGTCGTGCCGCTGGCATGAATCTGCAAGGCCGCGGTGTGGAGCTCCCCCCCTCCACCTCGCATGTTCACCAAAACACTGCAGGCCCAATTTGTCGGGGGGGGGGGGGGGGGGGGGGGCTCAAAATGGCCGATTTCAGGAACGCGTTACTCTTGGCCGCGGTGACCCAGTAAGAGCTTCCTGCATGTTGAAGATCCTTTTTTTTGCCTCTGTCTAAGCTCTGTCTTGAATTAATTTGTATACAGTCTGACCGTGTCAGTGGCCATTGTATGAATAAACAGGGTTTTAGCAGCTGAGTTAAACCCAGTTTTCATAGTTGGCCACCTGGCACACTCCACATTCGTCCACATTCCCCACAAAAAGGGTTCCCACCTTCTCTAATGCCTGGGTGGTGTATCTGGAGTGTGTCCCGCTAAGGTAAAGTGCACAGTTGTGCTTAGCTGGATCGTTTTGTTGAGTTGCCGTTGTGATTGTCTGATTGGTCTGTATCTCATGGTGACTAGATGTTAACTACCTCACCTGGTATACAGGAGGGCGTGAGTTCAATCCCGACCCTGACGCCTGTATATGTGGAGTTTACATGTTCTCCCCGTGGTCGCGTGGATATTGATCCTCCGGTTTTTCCTTCCACATTTAGAAACATGCGTTTAATGTATTTGGCTGCTGTAAATTTCCACGTGATAAGCCACTTTGCTGGCTATCATTTGTGGCAAAGTCGCTTCTGAAAAAGAGCTCTATAGCTCCGTGGGCCTTACCTGGTGAAATAAAAAAGAAATGTAGTCTAGTTGACCTTGTTAATGCATCTCACAGATGCGGGTTGCTGTCACGTAACCTCCTTAAATCGCTCGGTTATACATGAGTGTTTGGAACCCATCTCGCTCGGTTCGATTGTCAGCCATGGGTTAAGGGAGTCTTCCCATGGGTTCACTCGGCCTTAAATGTGTACTTGGAACGCTGTGTAAACATCAGCACTGGGGGACACAAACGCTGCGGGATGCGTGATGCTGCCGCCACGTGCCAATCTGACATGAGATAGGTGCTCGCTTAAGAGCACTTGCCTCAATCGTGTTTCATGGTTTTGCAGGCGATATTTGTGTGTGTCCGCGCGGGTGTGTGCTCTTGGAGATACACGTGCTTGGAATTACATTGCGAGATGGGAACAGGAACGCATGGTTGGAGAAGATACGCAGGTTAAAGATTTTGACCGCACGGAAAAGCAAGTTGGCTTTGACAAAGCATGTCAGGAGAAGGGAATATTAGAGGTGCTCTAGACCCACGGCGGAGTGGCAGCCAGCAGAGGGACCATGGCCAAGATGAAGCTGTCAACGGCCCGTGACAATTACCTGGGCCTCCCCTAGGTCGACTAGGCCTCAAATGAGCACGTGCTGCGATGTGTAAACATTGCCAATGGAGAGACAAAGGCGGCCGAGCATGATGCTGGCCACACCCCTGTTACGTGCCTTGTCGGCCCTTCACAAAGGTGCTGCTCGCTAACAGGACTTTTACCAACCGTCTGTTAAGGCTCTACACGGGCGGCGGGAGGGGAATAATTAATTGTGTTTTCTGTGCCGTTGATGCAGAGCGCGCCGTGGCGCTGCACCAGGTGCGAGCCATCGAGCAGAGGCACACGCAGGAGCTGGCAACGCGCGCCGAGGGAGGCCCCTGGGGAACGGGGGGCCCCGACGACCTCATCGTGCTCTACAACCGCGTGCCCAAGACCGGCAGCACCTCGTTCACCAACATCGCGTACGACTTGTGCGCCCGCAACAAGTACCACGTGCTGCACATCAACACGAGCCGCAACAACCCCGTCATGTCGCTGCAGGACCAGGTGGGCGTCTCCACAAGCACTCTTGCCAGGCGCGTGACGACGCGTCGGATTCCCTCAAGCTTGGGCGATGCATCGAATGGAGAATTGTGGGCATTAGCGATCTGTTTTTCTGTTCGAGTGTGTCGCATGTTAATGTCGTTCAACGTCGCCCGTCCCCCGCCGCAGCCACTAGATAGAGGCACAACGGTCTGCTGCAGTGTTGCAAAATAGCATTGATTGCGCGAATTGAAACGTGATCATGAACCACGATGATTAAATCGACAGAGGGGAGTATTGTTACACCCCTAGTGACAGTCCCACACCCCCTAGTGACATGGGTGAATGGTTCCTTCCCTGCTGGAATACGTTAAACCTAGGGTTTTGTGAGCTCGAAAATAAATAGTTTTCATAATCTCGTTAATTGAATTCTTTCATTTATTTGTAATTCACGTATTGTGTCGAGTGTTATCATAGTAGGTATTTGCATTTCTATTCAAATAAATTGTCGCTTATCAAGATGGTAAACAAAAGAATGTAATTACATTTCTCATGGAATACACTAAGCAACAGTTCAGCTGTCGTGAAAAGCACAATCTAGAATAATCGTGCTCGCTGCTAAAGTGGCCGTTAATTTCTTGCCACGCAATGCGTTGCTTTTGACTGCTGCACTTTTATTGAGGCTGTTCAAAACATCAGTGGTCATTCGTCAACGACGCTGCCTTAATTGTAAAAGTATATAATAGGTAACGTTTCGGGCAACAGACCTTATTCATGTGCTCTGAATATGTTAATAAGGACCATCGCCCAAAACATCGCCTTTGGTATATTTTTCCGATCAAGGCCTCGGCGTTATCGACGCACGCCTTGAGTGCGTTTTGTTATTTGTGACTTGTGTGCAACGCTGCCAATGCAGTGTCTCCAAATAATTTGTTTACTGACGATAGGTCACCTCTCCGGGTTGATGTGCGCAAAATTCGTGGCCCGTCGCGCACTGCACATTTAGGCCAGCGACACGATCGACGCTTCAATTGATGTCTCACCGCCGTCCCCCGTCAGGATGGGATGGTGTGTCATGAGCACGATGCCAATGCTGTAAATCCATCCTTCCCCCCCCGCTGAATTACGGCTTCTGCTACCGCAGCCCCGAGTCGACTGAAAGCAGGTAGCCGCATGTGCTCGCACGGACTTTGTCAATTCAAAGGTTGGCGGTGTGGGGGGGGTGGGGTAGTGGAATCCCTAAAATACATTTTTCAGTTCAGAAACGATGAGTGCCTGGCTCCTGCTCGTGGCATGGCTTGTTAAGCCATGCATCACGCTGTTAGCTTAAACTCAGCAAGTGTTGATGCCAAATAGTCAATTAAAAACATACCGTTAAACAGTAAAACAAGGATTGAGCACCGCTGTTGTAAGGCGGCCACCTGCTTGTAACGACCATGGAGGCCCTTAATGGGCCACCTCCGGTGTAATTTAGGCTAACCGTGTGTATGGAGACCACAACCCCAGCGACGCAGGCAGCTTGATGGGAAACTGTCAATGGTCATTACCCAAATGTTCTGCCGTAGCTTTAGAAACATGGACAAGGATTATGGGTTATTTTTTTTTTTATCTCGTGCTCTCTTTACCAATTTGTTTAATTCCACTGTGTAGCACTGGTCGTAACGCGCAGGAATTATTTGCTGTAATTTGTCAAAGTTAACGGCATGTGACCACACGGGAAGCATCCTCGTAACCTCGCGAACGCGCTTCAGCGTCGATCGCAGTCGTACGTGCGGTCAGAGTGCACCTGTTGTCAGCGTCCGGAGTTCATAGTCAAACCCGAAGCAACGTCATCCCAAGACTCCAACCTTCCCTTTGCCGTCTTCCTCGTCCAACGAAACGGATTATTATAAGCCTGAGCGGATCTGCCGCCTGGTAAAAGGGGGAACACGGCACGCATTGCCATGGCTCCCTGCTCTCGGGTGGTGCCGCGCCGGCTGCCTGTCGTACCCGGAGGCCCCTACCCCCCCCCCCCCTCCCTCCCCTGTCATGCTCACGACGCCGATGGCCACATCCGCGATCATAAGCTCGTTAAATTGGCGCCGCCGTGCTCGAGCGGGTTTTAATTCGCCGTTGGCGCCAGGAGAAGAGATTCTGCGCGGAGGAGGAGAAGCGAGGTGATGGACGCGTTGTGCGAGAGAGAATGGCCGAGCCGGCGCTCCCTCTCTCGTGCGCGGGACCACAGGGACGCGCGCTAGCGGAACCAGAAACTTTAACTGCGCTCCGCTGCCGTGTGCAGCATAGTAATTTCAAATAGGGATGCAGGGAGGATTGTGAAAAATGCAGGATACTTTGTGCTGCGTACGTTTCCTTCGCATATGCAATCACGTACGAGACATCGATGCCTCGCTTAGCCTAGTTTGACCGTCAAAAAACGCGTGTCCTTTGCGAGCGCAGTAGCACGCACAGGGAAGGGGTGTGGGCGGCAGCAGCACACACACGCGCAGCCACGTTTTGTATCCTAAAATTTTATGTTCGTAAACCCATTCTTAACAAGTCGTCACCTTTAGGCCGCAGTGTACCCAGGGGAGGCCCAGCCCGTGTTCAGATGTCAAATGGCGCTGGCGATAGACACGGCTAGGAGGTGAACCTGTTTCGTTAGCAGTGTTCTTGCCAAACCAAAGTAGCACAGCTCCAATGCACTATACACACGTGCACATGAAGACAAATGTCCCCCATATAGCCTTTACCAGAGCTCTTGAAGCAAGTGCTATAAGCGAGCACTGGTTAAGGCTGGCACTGCATAAAAGGGGGGGGGGGTGGTGTAGTCGCCAACCCATGCCTGGCCGCTTTTGTTTCTTCAGTGCTGATGTTTTACACACTGTACCATTTGAGTCCGAGTCGACCTAGGGGAGGCCCAGAACCGGTTAGGATACTTGCCACCATTATTGGTCGTGAGCAGGAATCAAACTCGGGTCGCCGGGTTCGTAGGGCAATGCTCTAAACACTGTGCGCTTCACACACACGTATGCACACAATATACACAGATGCATGCACGGATGCACATGGCCACACTGAAAGATATTACTTGCACGCATGCATGAACACGCACGCACAAGCCAACTAGGGAGCTACACATAAATAAAAAGTCTTGCACAATCTGTTTCATATAGCTGGTGACTGCTACCTTTTTTATTTGTTTAGTACTCTTAACCCTGATTGTTTGTGTTTCTCGTTGTCATTGTTTTCTTTTAAGGCGAGGTTTGTAAAGAACGTTACGGTGTGGAAGGAGATGAAGCCGGGATTTTATCATGGACACTTGGCGTTCGTTGATTTCAGCAAGTGAGTCGGAGTGTCTCCATCCGCTCACTCACGCTTCTCTTGAGTGTAATATCGCTGTTATATATATGGGATCTTTTTGCTAGTATAAAAAATGATGGTAAAATAAGAATAGGTTTTACCATATCCGGCAATAAAACAGGTGTTTTCATGTTTTTGCCACAAGTACGTGTAGTTAATGCAGACTTCATGCCTTGCAAAAGGTATCTTTCTGGTGTTTGAACATCTTAACAACTGTTTAGCACGCAGGCTTTCGCGACAGGAGGATTTCTCCTACAAATCTGGCTGCCGCCTGATGATGCCCAGTTGTAATTACTGGCGAAACGTTGTAATAAAATTGTATATGTTGTGGATTTACTCTCCAACACGCCGCTGTGCTGTACTTGTAACGAATTGGCATGTTCTGTTTACGTGACAAAACTTACTATATTTTTATGCAAGTTTCGTGGGACTATGGGAGGGTTAGGAGGAAAATGAAGCCTGGTGAGAATTTTTTTATTAAATCTAGTTAGGAAACAAACATATTTGGAACATCACGGAGCGTAAACACTCAAAAGGATGGAAGAGAGTTGCACTTTAGTGGCATGGTCACGTGTGGCAGATGGATGAAAACTCGATTACCCAGGTGGTCCTCTCAATTCGGAACGCTGGGAAGAAGAGACAGACTAAGGAAGGGGTGAAACTGAGGTGCCATGGACGCCTTGGGAGAGAGAGAGAGAGAGGACTGCACCCGAGATTTATGAAGACAGAAGTTGGGAAGATAGGAATGTTTGTAGTCTACCAACAAAACCATACGATGCCTGGACATAGAGACTGATGAGTATCATGATGATTGTTCTACATCGTAATGGGTGTTAGCATCGATCCATATTCATGATTAACTTAATCGTCGTCCCGCCCCGGCACCGACTGCCGCCACGGGCAAGAATGGTGCAGAGAAACAAAGCAAAAGGCTTCTGGATGTGACCTTCCAGTCGACAAAGGCCACGAAGCAAGTTCCCCCGCCCACTCGGCCGTGCAGAGCCGCAGTACGGGAGCTGCCTGCCCCCCCCCCCCCACGTGACAGACGTCGTGTTATCGTGAGGACCGCGAGTCAACGGAGTGGTGTCGTTCCCCACACCCCCAGGTTCGGCGCCTACAGAAAGCCCATCTACGTGAACGTGGTGCGCGACCCCATCGAGCGCCTCGTGTCCTACTACTACTTCCTGCGCTTCGGGGACAACTATCGGCCCAGCCTGCGGAGACGCAAGCAAGGGGACAAAAAGGTACTCCGGCTTGTGTTCATGCGGCAGTGGAGTGGCCCACGCGCACCTTGCAGGGCGAAGGTTTGGTCGACCGCGTAGATTTGACGAGCCCCTCAAAAAATGGTGATTGCGGGAGGTGGAAGTACAGCAAAGTTGGTTCATCAACCTGCCTTGATAAACCCAAAGTGGGCTCATCAAAGTGGGTTCGTCAAAGTGGGCTCATCGAGGCGGGTTCATCAAGGCGGACTAATGAACGTTCCACGGTGGCGAGATGTTAACTACCTCGCCTGCTGTACAGGAGGTCGTGGGTTTGATCCCGACCCTTACGGCTGTATATTTGGAGTTTGCATGTTTTTTTTCTCCGGGCCCCTCTGGTTTTTACCTCCACATTTGGAAACATGCTTTTCGAGTATTTGGCTGCTGTAAATTTCCACATGATACGCCACTTCGTTGAGCTATTACTTGTGGCCAAATCGCTTCTGAAAAAGAGCTATACAGTTCAGTCGGCCTTACCTGGTAAAATGAAAAATATAGTTTAGGTCTGTGCAGACCTGTGAGCGTTATCATCTCGTAAATGTGCTTTTCTCCAGACGCTCTGGTTTCTTGGCACGTATAAAGCCCTTTTATAGCATTAATGTTATTAATTACAAGCCTGGAGCTCAGAAAAGGCAAAGGTGTGAAACCTTTCCTGTGGAGAACTTAACTCTTTAATAATGGGGCAACTCTGGCAAACTCATTCGCACAAGGTAACGTCGTTTCGTTGAGATGTCGATTAAGGGGCCGGCGGAGTGGTGGTGCAGTGTTTCGTGCACTTTGCCGTGAACCTGGTCACCCGAGTTCAATTCCTCACCATGGCTAACGTCACTGGCAAATGATTTGGCCAAACAAACCCTCTTTGCTGGGACGTAATGGAGAGATCTTAATCCAGCAGTGGATTAGCGGAGGATTGCAAATTGCTATTTATTTTCTAATTGGCTGCTTAAATGTGTTGGGCGATTCTTTAAAATGTAATTTTAGGTTGTGCTTGTTACCTGTGCATTTATATGTTTATTTTATGTATGAATAAATGTTGAACTACTTTTGCACCGTACGTAGCCAACCGTGCTGATCGGAGGCGTAGGGCAAGGACAACAAACTAAACGCACAAAGCACTTTGTTATTGTCTCGTGTGATTATTGAATTTGCATTATTATTTTTTATATTAGATTTATTTTGCCTGGTATCTGCAATGAATTTTCCAAATGTGAATCGTGCCTCTTGTATTTTAAACCAGGAGGGGGGGGGGGCTTGTTTAAATTGGGCTCTCATACCATTTCTAAAACAAGGTCATTGATTGGCATCGAGTGGGTCATCTGATAATCGATCCACCAATTACTTTCATTCATAAGCAACCGAGAGCCCATTGATGCAAATAATCCATCTTTCGATGGAGGTCTCGTGTGTCAAACACAAAAGACGAGAATGTAAAGGTGTATTTCACTTCTGAATTAATAGAAATGTGAATGCAATAAAACACCCAAGTGGGCATTCATAAAGAATACAATAAAATAGATTTCACACAATTTGTCTGGTATCAGCTCAGAGCTGCATTCCGGGTCCGTTCCCGTCTTTGTCCAATTTGTAGTCATGCGGCTTTAACAAAATGATATGGGGACATTCCGGATTAAAGCACACAATGTGTTTGTTACTTCTTCTGCAGTTTTAATATTTTGCATCTTGCCAGGGCCCATCAAGGCCAAGGCCTATGGAGCCAGCTCTATCGTGGTTTCTAGCTTATTTGTAGGTCTGAGAAAATGGTTTAATTTCATGTTTTATAGCCTCTTTATCTTCAACGGTTTTCAAGACAGTGGTTTACAGAATCTTTACCCAGCTACTTACAAAAATCTTGCTGTTAAGAGATATAGTTCCGGAAGACGGTCCCATAGGAGGACACAATATGATACTTAACGTAGTGCTATTGTCATCGGTTGTCAAACTAAATGTAAAATTACTATATCGATTCATTGCCATACACAAGAGGTCCAAGCTGTCCAGCTAGTCTGGAGCAGTGCTCAGGCATAGTGTTGTCATCTCTCCCGCCTTGTCAAGGCTCTTTCCAGATTGTCGTTGCCAAATTATCCTGTATGAAGATTTACACAAATGGGGTTCTATTTTTATTGATGAAGTTTTCCACAGTTTAAAAAAAAAAGGTCCCCTCCAAAATTAAGTGGCACCTTGCAGTCTTGTCAGATTTCTCAATGCATTGGCAGTGTTCATAAAGTGTCTACAATGTTTCGTATTATCTCCAGGCCCTGACGCATTGATGGGACAGTTCAGACTTTCCATGACAGCCTCAATGCTTATCACACACACACTGTCCAATACATGTTGCAAGTGATATTCTGAGACTTATAGAAACTAAAGTGAGTGTGGATACTGGCATTAAGCAGATTAAACACCGATGTCGGCTGTCAATAGGCTCAACTTGGTGACGTAAGGATGAGACTGTAACTGGGCTGCATTACCAATCGGGGGAGAATTGCAAAGGATGACGTTATACTTTCTGAGGAGTGCAGCCCGCTTCCGATTGGTCGTTGGGAAGCTTTATTTGACAGCTGCTGTCTAAAAACGGTTGATCCGCGGGTCGAAATTTAACCCACGTGGGTAATGAGACCTCGTGGAAGCCGCTTAATGAAGATTGGAGAACGCATGGGGAGGTGTGCGACCGTGGTTGTTTGCATGAGGGGGGGGCCAAGCCGCGCGTGATCTCTGTGTACGCGGGTCGTCGTCGTCGTCTTTGCTAACGTGACGTTTTCCCGTGCTGATGTTTTAAACCTCGTGTCCCATCTAGTGGAGTTCATTAAGAACTTTAACGAACGTTGTTGTGTTAAAAAAAAAAAAGTTGGAAAGTTTTTTTTTATTCGTTTTCGTAATTTCTGTCGTTCGGGGGAAGAAAAAAAAACACTTTCAGATTTATTGCCAAAATTATTCAAGAAAAAGCGATGTAATAGAAATAAAATTTAAAAAATGTTTTAGCTCATGCCATCATTTTGGTACTATTTATGAACCAGGATTTTTCCATGCTTCCCCCCCCCCCTCCCTGTGTGGAATATGCAAATGACTGCAACATGACTCTTCTTAAAGGGCCCCCAGCGTGCAGTGTTTGGTTGGATCTCATCAACAACAAAAAATCAATGGCTAAAACCCTACGAACGGAAAACTAAATTGCGTGGTGCTTTTGTCCTGTTGGTCCTCTCATTTAAATAATGTTGCTAAGCTCTGCCTCTCCTATTGTGCTCCTGGGGCCCGGTGCCCAAGGGTGGCTGGCTGCCTGTGCACACGTAATGATGTGTTTACGTGTTTGGTCAACATGTGTCCCATTATTAGCTGGATTAACATAATGGGTGAAAATGTAATAGCCCTTTGGGGCACTTACACCGCTTTGTCCCAGTGGACCCCCAATCCTGGCACGTGCGTCCACACATCCACGATTCGTCGATTTAAAATGCATACAATAACACGTTCCCGTGTATAAGCTTCCCTCGAAAGCAATACTCTTGAGAAAGGGAGGGGGTAAAAAAACACCCCGATGTTATTTTAAGGGCAGCGGTGCCTTAACGAGACTTGCGTAAAACGTGCCCTCTTTTTCAGACCGAATTGGAAGCAGTGCCAGATTTTTCTTAGTTGACTTTACATTTCTCCCGCTTGGCAGCACGCTGCGGACATCCAGCCCCAGGTGACACAGTGGCCCAAATTTGAGCATTCATCTCGACGAGCTCGTCATCAGCGACGAGCGAGCCTGTGGGGGGAGCGTGCTTCGCTTGGAGGGTAGCGGCAGTGGTGTAGGCAGGAGATGGGAGAGGTGCGGGTGTGGGAGCGTCACATCTGTTGTCCCACGGGACGCGAAGCGTCTCTCGCGGCGCTTGATCCTGGCTCGAGATATCAGAATTTTTATTTATCCTGTAGAAATCCGATGAGTTACGAAGCTCTTTTTTTCACAGATGTCCAGTAGGGGCGGGTCATCAGTTCACTGTCATTACACACAAAGTTCTTGCCACAAATGAACCACAATGCCTCGCTCATCTCGTCAAGGAGCATAAATCATCACGCAAAGTCCAGTCGTCCTCAAAGCGGCTTTTGGCTAGCCATTGAACAAAGACGGCCACTGCATCGCCCACTTTCAGATGCACTTCTGCGGCCGTCTGGAACGCTCTTCCCTCCGATCTTAGGAAACCACTGGACCTATGAACTTTCAACTCTAAATTGAAAACAATTTTTCTTCAGAAATGCTTTTTGTGTTTAGTTTGTTGTCCTTCCCCCGCACCTCCGACTAACACGGTTCGCTACGTGCGCTGCAAAATAAGTTCAGCAGACATACGGAAAGTTCCAACAACAAACAATATCTCGCGGTCGGTGTTTCATGCCCGCCCCCACAGACGTTTGACGAGTGCGTGCAAGAGAAAGGCGTCGACTGTGCCCCCGAGAAGCTCTGGCTGCAGATCCCATTCTTCTGTGGCCACAGTGCCGAGTGCTGGTGCGTCCCCACGTGTTTAAGAATATAAAAATGTATTCGCACCCGCACACTTGCACGCTCACTGGTACCTCAACTGTCACGAATTTAATCTCGGTTGTGCGTATGACGCAGGCGTGCACTGTTGCGATGGAAAAATGTTACCCTCCTAAAGTCAATGCAGCAGCAACATCTCATTATCGGGAATGGCGCTGGAAGATGAAGTTGTAAAACTACTTTTGAGGTCATGTCAGTAGGTCTTTCTCAACCCAATACAAGATGGCACTCCTTGGTGATCCGTGAACAGTGCTTCTTCACTTGTCCGTTATCTGGTGTATTGATACATTCTAGCCATAAGAGTTTGGTCATCCAAATTGTATTAAAAAGCCGATTGTGCAACACATATTTGGCCATTTATTTGTACCTTGGCTGAAGCTATCCAACTCGCTTAAATTTCAGTGTCGGGAATTCAAACTCATAGTTTCATCGGTCCCCGTGCACTAAGCCACTCTGAGCCACCCATGTCGCCTTGTGCAATTAATACGAGTCACCCAAATAGGCAATTGGGGTCGTTGCCAAAGTACATAGTGCAGAACCCCTTCCCCCTCATTGTGCTTTCCTGAGCTGAATCCAGTCTCCCGTCTGTTGTCTAGGAATTATGTTTATTTTAAAAGTCCGGTGTTCCGGTTTGTCCATTTGTCCGTCAACTAAATTATAAGAGCCTTTCAGAAGGCCTAAATCTAAAAGTTATAGAGAGTGGATCTTCCCCCCCCCCATTCCCCCAGATGTGGGGGTAAAAAGTTGACCCAACAGGTTTACAACAATTGTCGACCGCCACACCTCCCCCATCCCCCACTAATGTTTTTAATGTATTTTGTAGGCATATGCCTACATACCCTATATGCAATAGAGCCAGTATTATCTGCACACATTGGGGGGGGGGGGAAGAAGAGGACATGAGTGGGGGCGATGTGCGAGGCACAAAGCGCCAAGAAGCCCTCCGCAGGAGCTAGACTAAGGTGGCCGTAGGCCGTCGAAATTCCAGTCAATTAAAAATCCCATCTTGCTACCGGAGAGCAGTGGACGCTGAGCCGAGGAAGTGACCACTGGATTCTTCAGATGCCCCCATAAAACCTTATACAGTCTGCACGTCTCCCTCTATCAATGATTCAGCATGCACATCAATTATACATCCTCTTGGAATGCTGAGTTATGGGCATACCTTACGCTGGGTGTTCGCTGACAAGCTTCAGTTGGACTTTTCGAACAATGGATGAGAGTCTTCGTCCACAGTTTGTGGGTGCATTTGCAGGGCACTGATAAAAATTTCTGGCATTTCACACCATCTACTGGAAAACTACTCGACATGCTGCGGCCGCGACCCTCACCAGCACAAGCGGATTGAGATCGAACCAAGGGACAAAAATTAGAATTACATGTTAAATATCAATTTCCAAATATATTTTTTACATAAACTAAAATACAAATAAAATATTAAATAACACGTACAAATACAAATAATTAATACACCTTACAAATACAAATTTCTGGCCTTTCACACCATCAGTTATAAATAAAAATGACCCCTCAAGTGGACTCAACCTTTTATGCCCGCCTACCTGTTATCATGCGAACGAGTGCGCATCAACGGTAGCAACGCGTGCCCTCGCGCGTCAAGTAAATTTTATTTTCGCTTAAAAGCGTGGCGCCTTTCTTACACAAATCTGTCACTCACAGCGCCATTGCATTAATACCGTACTCGTAAAAATAGAAATAAAAAATTCTACACGATGGATGAGAAAAAAATGTTATGCGATCGCCCCAGCCACTGACGCGTCCTCGCCGACCAACCGCACCCCTCCAGTCAGCGCGGTTGGCTACCTACGGCGCTAAAGAAGTTCAACAAGCTCACAAACACGCACCCGTGCGCAGGACGGTGGGCAGCCGCTGGGCTCTGGAGCAGGCGAAGCTGAACCTGGTGAACGAGTACCTCCTGGTGGGGGTCACCGAGGAGCTGGAGGACTTCATCCTCATCCTGGAGGCCGTACTGCCGCGCTTCTTCAAGGGAGCCACGGAGCTTTTTAAGAAAGGTAGTGCGCCCCGCCCCCCCGCCCCCTGCTCTTTTATTTCCCGTGAATCGATTTTTTTTTCCTAAACTATTTATTGACGCGCGCATAAACGGCGCAACCGGAGGGCAGTTAAGATGTCGCCACGGTGGCGAGATGTTTGACTACCTCGCCGGGTATGCAGGAGGTCGTGGGTTCGATCCCAACCCTGACGCCTGTATATTTGGAGTTTGCGTGTCTCTCTCCCCGTGGTCGCGTGGATTTTTCTCCAGGTCCTCCGTTTTTTCCCTCCACATTTACAAACATGCGTTTTAGAGTATTTGGCTGCTATCAATTTCCACGTGATAAGCCACTTCTTTGCACTATCATTTATGAAGAGCTCCATACAGCTCGGTGGCTCTTACGTGGTCAAATAAAAAGATCGTTTAGTTTTTAGTTTGCCATAGCGTTATGGTTTTTAGTTTCTCACTGACAGACGATAGCCCAACTGATATCCCGCCCCCCCCCCCCAAACCCCCACTGCGCTGCACCAGGAACAAAGTCGCATCTGCGCAAGACGGCGGAAAAGAAGGCGCCTTCGGCAGACACGGTGCACACGCTGCAGCAGTCGGAGGTGTGGAAGCTGGAGCACGAGTTTTACGAGTTTGCGCTGGAGCAGTTCAGCTTCATCCGCGCGCACACTGTGCGGGAGAAGGACGGGGAGCTCTATCCCCTCGCCCAGAACTACTTTTACGAGAAGATTTACCCCAAGCAGAGCTAGCCGCGCCCGCGAGTGTCGCGGAGGGCCCATCCCCGTGCCGTCCCCCGTGCGTGGCCGCGACGGGAGAAATGTTCGGCTCGGCACTGTGCGTCTCCGAGAGAAGACGCAACGGGGGAGCCCTGTTCTCTCTGGTCAAAGCGTCCCGCACAGGAAGGGGGGGAGGAGGAAGAGGAGGGGGTGATTTTGGCGATCGACTGGAAGATGGAAGACTTGGTCACAGCATCGTTTCTGGATAATTGTTTTAAAATGTGAGAGCATTGGTTTCTTTCATTTTTTTTTTGGCCACCTGCTTTTGAGTTGCGTGGGGGTTATTTCTTTTGTTGTCTCTAACAGTAGCCAACTCGGCTGCCCGCTTACCAACCACTACAATCGAAGGCTCCTAAAGGGCGACATTTTATCGCCCTTGTGAGGAAAATCCACTCTCAAGGATTGTGAAGTTTCCCGGGGACGTGCGTGCAAATGTCAAGATCAAATGGTAAAGAGAGCATTGGGGGCAGTCGGGGGCCTGCGCTCTGCTCCGCACGCAACAGACGGCTGAACGGTGGAGGGAAGAAAAAAACTGTTCTTTGAATAATGGACGCACGCAGCAACAGCAGCAAAAGGTTGTATTGTGTTTTGTTTTCTGTCCGGGACCACTCGTGCATAATAACTCTTAGACGACGCATTATTATTGTTTTGGAAATAAATGTCTCAACGTTGGATACATGACGACAGTTTGAATTATGTTTATGTGCGTGTGTGTGCTGTGATAATTTAATTTTTTTTTTTTATCAGGGAGACGCTCACACACACACACACACGCAAAATATATTCTCAGCTGGTGTGGTGTACATTTCCTTAATGAAAAATCTAGCGAGTATGGTAATACTCTTATGAAAAGAGCATATAAATCATACCATTAATATTAATTCACTGGATAAAACACTGTTTTGAAAATGAGGGTGTTTTAAATGGTGTGGTGTATGTTTTGTATCTATGAATCTCACGGTCTGACATAGAGTAACAAAGGGTTTTTTTTGTGTGTGTGTTTTTGTACGCAAAACACCTGACCCCACAAACATTCTCTCCAGGTCAGCTTTGTTGTGGGTGAAGAAATGTGAAGGTCGTAGAGAATAAAAACGGAATTTAGCGATCGTCATTTTTCATCCAAAGTCATTACGTAGCACTGCACTGTCTGCAGATTTGAGCATAAGAATAATTGCCTTTTTGAAACATTCGTGAATTTATAACAACAACAAAAAACCCCATCGTAATTTTTTATTAAATGTCAACAAAACGAGGAGTATATATATAAAACGTAGCTGTTGCAAAACTATTGGGTGAGCCTTTTTTGTTTTGTTTTACTATTTGTGAGATAAAAAAAGTGACTTTTGTTTTGTGTTCCTGCTTTTTGTCCCAGAAGCCGATGGGGGCGCGTTTGAATTTTGTTTTCATTCAAATTGGTTTCAACGCCTAAATGGGGCGACACTGGTTTCTTATTTTGCTGTAATGTACCCTAGTTGTTATTGTCAAATAGTTTCTGCTCCGTGTGATATATGCTTTTAAGTGTTGCGTGTTTTTAAGTTAGGTTCCCGAGGTACAGTGTGTCTATGTGTGTGTGTCTTGCATAGTGGGGAGCGATAGTGTAGCGGTTAGCGCGCTGCGCTATGAACTTGGCGACTCGGGTTCGATTCCCGCTCACGGCCAACACCAGTGATGATTATCTGAACCGGTCCCGGGCCTCCCCTAGGTCGACTCAGCCTCAAATGAGTACCTGGTGCGGTGTGTAAACATCGCCACTAGGGAGACAAAGGCGGTCGGGCGTGGTGCTGGCCACCCACCCCCTCGTGTACCGATCCGGCCTTCATAGGTGCTCGCTAACAGCACTTGCCCCTACAGTCTGTTAAGGCTATACGGGGGATCTTTTTTGTCTTGCATTGCTGGTTCATGGATGCTACCAATAGTTTACACATCTTAACGGTGTCCTTGCCTGCAGATGCCGCTGGAGTAACATCATGGTCTAGAACTGGACTGTTAAACTTTACGCGGTCGATTTGGCAAGTACATTTGCCATGCCACGCAAACACGAGCAGAGACCGGCGCACAGCCCAATCTCGCTGTGCCGGTGCACAATTCCTGGCGTTTGATCGACCCTATGCCTCGTCAACGCAGAAGAGTGGCTGAAATCTGGTGGTCGCTAACTGCCACCGATTTTTGTTGGCCCATATACAAAGTTACATTTTTAAAAAAATGTCTTTAAAAAATGAGAGTTATTTTGATGTCAAAAGATCTGATATTTTCTGCAATTCAGGTAAGCTTCATTTTGCTGTCATTTTATTTGTCCGTGTTATATAAGCGTGAATCGATGGCCAGCAAAATCCCAGGTGAATTACAATAATTACGACGTATAAAACATTAATTTAATTTAAGACTTTAATGATGGGCCCGCAATGTTGAAAACAGTTTTATCTTTGTGTCAACGTTCATTTGATTCTGTTTGTATTTTTGCTGATTTTCAAGCAAATGTTCAATCGTATTTTACACAATAATAGTAACATCAGCCATTTGTCAATCTCCTGCTGGATGAAGGCTGCTGCATGCCAATCGGTTCATACGACCTGCTATAGCAGGCATCAGAACTAATAAAATAATACGGACTGAAACTCATTAAGAGATGTTGGGCATTGCACCAAGAGACAGAAAAGCAGATAGATCAGATAACAAGAGCAAATTGGGAGATGTAATTTTAACTTAAGCGAAAATACGTGGGCTCGGGAAATACGCCACGAGAATGGATGATGGCCCGACGAGACCAGTGATGGAATGGCAGCCAAGGGAGGGAGAGAGAGAGAGAAAAAACACTGAACAGGTTGCTCACTGGGGAGATGGGAGTGAGTAGGTGAGCTCTTGTGCGGGAGCAAGACGGATTGTGGCGTCACAGGACTGAGGGATGGCATAGGTTATGGGGAAGCCTTCATCCATCAGTGGGTATGCAATGTCTGATGATGCGTAACATCAAAACAAAACGTGTTCGTCATTAAAAGTTGCTTCGTCGTGGTGGGTTTCCATTGTGATTGAATTTAATTTAAAAAAATAATCTTGAAACACGCTGTTTAACAATAACAAAATAATAACAGTACAGTTATTGGATGTTTACCGTTGTTGGTTTCGTGTAAAATCACATGAAATGTTCTATTTTTCATGTTTTGTATATAAAATAAAGAAGTGTGGTGATATTTTACCGTCGTTGGCGCCTGTTCCGTCCAACAAGGCGTCGCACGTTCGGCGCCTTCTCCCCACCGTGAGCTCCCCCGTGAGCTCCTCAGTGACCTCAGTGACCTCGGTGACCTTTTCAGTGACCTCCCCCGTGAGCTCCTCAGTGACTTCCTCAGTGACCTCAGTGACCTCTTCAGTGACCTCCCCCGTGAGCTCCTCAGTGACCTCAGTGACCTCCCCCGTGAGCTCCTCAGTGAGCACCTCAGTGACTTCTCCAGTGACCTCCCCCGTGAGCTCCTCAGTGAGCTCCTCAGTGACCTCAGTGAGCTCCTCCGTGAGCTCCTCAGTGAGCTCCCCCGTGAGCTCCTCAGTGAGCTCGTCCGTGAGCTCCTCAGTGAGCTCGTCCGTGAGCTCCTCAGTGAGCTCGTCCGTGAGCTCAGTGAGCTCCCCCGTGAGCTCCTCCGTGCGCTTTATTTGGATAAAATTTGAGGACGCCCGTCACTCAATGCTCGACACGGAGTGACGCATGCCAGGAACCCTTCTACACACGGCTCCGTTTCTCACTGAATATTCTCCAGCTCGCTGGTCTACCAAAGTTGGTGACACGTGACGAGTAGCTCTACAGCCACAGCGAGGGGCATACATCATGATAATAAATTCATAATGATTTCAGTTGTATATACTGTAGCGTCATTCGTGCTAATTGCATCTCGCAACTCTGTTGCAATAATTAAAAAGTTCAACGTACATATGCATAACCACATTAAGGGATAAATCCTATCCATAGCCAATATTAAGTGAATGTAACCCTCCAGAAATAAAACATGAATAAACAAATCAAGAAATGGTATGCAAACAAAAGGCACAAACAACAACAAAAAGTGATCAAAACAGAGGTAAAGAAAATTATCTATGTATGTTGAATTTATATCCCACTACGCAGTCAACCGTGCTAATTTTGAGGTGCGGGGGAAGGACAACAAACTAAACACAAAAATCAGTTCTAAACAAATTAGTTGTCAATCTAGCTGTAAAAGCGCATAGCTCCAGTGGCTTGGTCATATCGAAAGGAAGAGCGTTCCAGGCGGCCGCAGATGCGCATCTGTATGGTGCGAAGGTTTAGCTCCTCACACCAGCAAGAGCAAATTAGTCCACCAAGTGACATCCCGAGATGTGATGCGCTGGATGCCGAAATATTTACAGGAGAGATGACCCAGGTAACAATTAAAGCCCACCCCCCGCTGCTTATACCGCTACGAGGCGGATATGGTGGTGACGAGTAGCCGATGTTGCTGGCTGTGGCCGACTCCCAGTGAATGCCAGTCTCACGCCCGTCATGACATTAGTGCTCAGTGGGGAGCCGAACTCACGTCTGGCTCGCGTCGCTCAGTCGCGCGCCTACTCCTCGCCTCTCGACTCGATCGTCCCTGCGAGGTTGATGGCCCCTTGTGACACCGGTATTAGAATAATACTCATGGTGCACTTTGATAAGATGCGGTAATGCAGTGCAAATGAGTCGGTGCTGATTAGGCGATATTAATCCCCAATCCTGTTGCCAATTGTGCAAATACGTAGATCAGAGAGTGTGGTTAACTCGATGCTTAATGCAGATCATTGATGGTTGTGCTAATCTTGGAGTGCCAGTTAACTCTCTGCTCTATACCTTTGTCCTAACGCAGTGGGTTAAACGAATTCTTCAGTCAGTTCTCACGCAGCAGAAACCCGAGTATAATCTAGATGAGAATATACTTTGAAAGCAGAAGGGCATCTTTGCTGGCCGTGCTGTAAAAAAAAAGTGACAGGCGCAGCGCGATCGCTATCGCTGAGAAATCGAGAGGGTTTTGGGCATCGCTGCGCCCGTTCCATCGAGTCGCTGGACGCGTTAGCAAGTAGATGGCTCTCGCGTGGTGGCACAGCCCGGCACGTGGCACGCCGAGGCCGGCACGTGGCACGCCGAGGCCGGCATCAGTGCACCGCAGTCACGGGCTTTTGCGCTGGGATTATTTTTGTTCTTGTTCTGTTGCAAACAGAGCTCGCTCGGTGGTGGCTTTGTCAATTCAAACGTCGAGCTCGCGACACGCGCATCGGGTGCCATAATCCCTGATGTTCGGTTCGTGTGCTCAACGATGGGATTCGCGTGGCCCTTGTAGTTGCTAATGGAGTCCGCTACCTTTTCCGCAATGTTGACAATAGAGCCAATTTCTTAGTCGAATCGTGACCTTGCATCGGAATTAAATCAACGGGGCTGGTGGGAATCTTTACACCTCCTGAAGCTGGGTTTGTATGCGCGATGGTCAGCAGGTGAACGCGTGGTCCAAGTGACCTTTGTGCTGGTACATGAACCACTGACTACGTACGGTGTGAAAGAAGTTCACAGCATGCATACACCCGCCAGGAGCGAGCATTGGGCTCAAATAAGACGATGGGAAGCCAAGGTGAAAGCAACGAAGGATACAACAACAACATTGCCAGGCCGTTAAAGACAAAGAAGTACTCACGTTGCTATCTTAAAAGTGTTCTTCACTCATTTTCGGGGGGGGGGGGGTGGTGGCGGGAGGCTTTCGCCGATAAGACATCATCGGTGTGAGGGCCGCCACGCATTTTAAATCATTGTTGGATTTGACAGCAGCACGATGATGATGATGGGGTGGGGGGGGGTGTTGCCACGTGTCGTGTGTTGCCACGTGTCGTGTGTTGCCACGTGTCGTGTGTTGCCACGTGTCGTGTGTTGCCACGTGTCGTGTGTTGCCACGTGTCGTGTGTTGCCACGTGTCGTGTGTTGTTGCATGCGGCACGTCAGGGGCCACACTGAAGGCCGCCAGGGGCCGCCAGTGGCCCGCGGGCCTTGCAATGAAGAGCATTGTCTTAAAATATCCATAATAGAGGTTGTTTTGGGTTAGATCGCATAAATATAAAAGTGTCGTTATACCCGCCACTACCTGAAACAGCCAATTAGTAAGGGTTGTCACGTAAACAAAACATGCCAATTCGTTACTGGTACAGCACACCGGTGTGTTACAGAGTAAACCCACAACAATTACAATTCGAGTACGACGTTTCGCCCGCAATTACAACCAGTCTCATCAGGAGACAGCCTGTGCCGGGTGGTGGCGGGTTTAACGACACATATTTACGCAATCTACCCCCAAAAACAACCTCTTATGAGATACTATTTATCGCGAAAGCCTACGTGTTAAGCCAACTTAAAAGATGTATGCTGCAGGCCTTTGATTGAATCAAGAACATCACTGCAATGCACCCATGATGTATCTGCGCTTGTAAAAGGTGCTAATGTTGGTCGGTTTTTTTTGTAATTCAATCACTGACAACAGCGGTCACGGCGACGGCCTCACAGCTCGTTAAATATGTCCCCATGAGATGAAACGAATTTGTGCCCCATGCGCTTTTAAGAAG